CAAGCAGGGGGAGTGGGAGAGGGAGAAGCAGGCTTCCTGCTGAGCAGGGAGCCCAACGCGGGGCTCGATCCCAGGACCCTGGGGTCATGACCTGAGCCGAAGGCAGACGCTTCACCAGCTGAGCTCCCCAGGCGCCCCTAGGGTGCTCCTTTTATAATATTAACTATATACTGCTTTATAAGAATTAATGTCTGAAACAAACAGTTACATAGATAATTATTTGAACAATGCTTTTATGATGAGTTAATACTTCTCTTCTAAGGTCTTTATGGCTTATTCAGCCAAAGAGTATATAAAGTTTGGAATAATTTGACTGTGTCCTTTAAAAGCCAGAAGACAGGTGTGAATGGTGTCAGATTGGGACTGGAGCTCTTGGTCACTGTAGTGTTAATATACGTTCTCTGAGTTACCATGGAGCGAAGGGGACTATTCTCACTTTACTGTGGTTGAATTTAATTTTCTAATATGAACTTCTGATAGCTATGGAATGGATTGATATAGCCTCTGGGTGCAGCTAAAAATTGCACCTTTACTCCCTCCTTATGGTTGTGTGTTTACGTTCTCCAAAGCCTGAGAGAAAACTCACTCAGTACCTGATTTCATCTTTTTTAGGAAATTATTTCCATTTGATGGAAGCTTATAATTTTTTTCTTTTTTGGAACTAGAGTCAAGTATGCCCATTCCTTATAGACCCTTCTTCTCAAGCTACAGAGTGGTTAAAGACACATTTGAAAGACTCACGTTTGGAAGTTATTAACCAGCAGGTTTGTATGACTTATAGTTGAGATGCCAACTGGTACTAGCATGGTAGGGTGGACACAATGCTGGGTCTGTATTCAGAGGGCACAGACTCGGTCCTGTGACTTACCTGGCATGGGACCCGTGGAAGGAAGCGTAACTTTTAGCTTTACTACAAAAGGGATGAGAGTATTTATTTGATTGCTCATGTGTGCTAGGCATTAATCGAAGCCCTGGGAATTCACTAGTGAGTAAAGTAGTCACACTTCCTGTCCTAGTGGTGATGCCAGTCCGGTAGGTTGGAGAGACAATTAAATAAGCATTTATACTACATTATGATTGAAGACGTAAGTATAGGATCCTAGAGAAGTAAGAGTTCCCGACTCCACTTGGGGACAGCCTCCCAGACTTGCAGCATATGGTCATTTCGTGTCCCTGCAATCTCACCAACGAGCATCTCTCATGTGTCCCAACAGTAGACATGTTGGTTTGCAAAATGTAATCATCGTCTTCTGGGGTAGTGACCTCTCACTGCCATATTTATCTTGCTGAGAAAATTCTTTGGGGTCAGTTTTTTTTTTTTTTTTTTTTTCCTTTGCGGAAGGCCTAGTGTATTTTGTATTCATTTTCATAGATATTCTTCAAGTGCTTGAACAATTACCTCTTTCAAACGTATTTCATTTATAAAATAGGGGTATTTACTTCATTTGTGTGTTAAGAATAGCTATAAATTAGATAATAAAATACTTTAACGCCATTTATGGTTTACGGGAGGAGATTTTAATAATTATTATTCCAAATATTTAATTTTTGTAACCATAGTTGGAGGCTTGAAGTGATGTTTAAAACCCTTTTGCTAGCTAGAAAGTCTTAAAATTCTTGCCCGGTTACAGAATTTTGTCCAGAGGTTTTTCCCCACAGTGGTCAGACCTATCACATTTCACACCAAGGAAAGTAGGCTAGAATTCATCATTTGTCTTTCTTCTTCCGTTCAGCATTTGATTTTGAACATAACCAAAGTAGTTCTTATTAATATTGGAGTAACTTATATAAAGAATTTGAAAATTTGTTTCTGCATGAAGTAGAAATTTGAAATCATAGTAAAGGATTGAAAAAAGATTTTTTATTGTGGTAAAAATCTTTATTTTTTGTATGTCTATTTAAATTATTTATGAAATCTATTTGATAATTTATTCAACTAAAATGATTCATCAGCAAGTACTTACAACTAGAAAAGCAGTCATGAGTAATTTGAATTATTAACATGCATATTAAATTTTAAAATATTCATATTATTCCTATTAATAGATTCCTTCATTATCTGTAAGGACCTTTGTAGATATTAAGGTAATAAAGGAATTAATGTGTATTCTTTTTTATTTTCTCAGGATAGTAACTTTATTACAGCTCTTGAGTTGGCGGTACGTTTTGGGAAAACCCTTATTATACAAGAGATGGATGGTGTAGAACCTGTTCTTTATCCATTATTGAGACGAGATCTGGTTGCTCAAGGTAAATATTTGACATTTTCTGGAGAGTAACTGTTTTTAAAATTTCCAAAGTAATTAACTTCATAACTAACTTTGACCCTTTTGGTCTTGCCACTGAATCTGATTTTTCTGGTTGAATGGTGGGAATGCCGTCATGGTCTAACAGGAACAGTCGACAAGCTCTTGCCTTTATAGAGGTGGCCTTGCATCAGGTTCTCCAGCACTGCTCCCAGGGACAGTATGTGACCGGAAGACACAGGACTTGAAACAGTCTTCTCACTGGTGGCTAAGATGTTTCGCAGGGACAAGATAGAAAGTCAAGTCAGCAAAGACAAAAAGCATGTAGCATGAAGTCAGGAGTCAAGAAACAAGGTGTAAGCTTTTGAGCCTCTTCATTGGAGTCCCACTGGATGAGCTGCTTCTCCCAGGACCAGCTTGTGACAACACCTGTGAAATGTCATGTACCAAGGAAGCTTATTAGACTCTCCGTCGCACACTTTTTACTGGGGGCTGCTTATATCAGCACGTTCCGCCTAGCATGAGACAAAATTCCAGACTCCTCACACAAAAGCAGGTGTTCTGCATAAGCCACATTATTTGTACAAACAGTTTACCCACAGTGAGCACTCTTACATGAGAACCCACCCCACATCCAAATTTCCAGAAGCCTATTACGGGCCTGTCTCACAAGCAGGCCTTTCTAAGGATAGAGTCTCAGGACTGCTGTGTTTCCTCTTTCCTGCACCGCTGCCTGACCCAGCCTTTGACGATTAGAATGTAATGCTTTTCACCTCAAGACCATGTCGTGCAAAGTGTGTACAAAGAACACACTTATACATACATACACGCACATCTTTACACCACGCATGCTGCCAGCGCTACAAGACTTATGCTAACCCTGCAAGCTTGAAATAGGATTGCAGTTACTGGGGCAAACCAGAGCAGAGCAAAAAACGCATTCGTGGGTCGCTTGTTATCTCACAGGTGAGCACGTGTGGCCTGGCAGTGGCTGATGTGTTGTGAAGAGACCTCTGGTAGTGGGACTTTTGCCTTTGCAACCTGGAGCCACCCTCCAGACTGCAGTCTCTGCTCTCAGTCAGTCTGTTCCTTACCGGTACTAACTCAGATCTGTGGAGCTAGCTCTTGCGATCTTTTTTTTCCCTTTTAATTTTTATTTAAACTCTAATTAGTTAACATATAGTGCAGTGCTGGTTTCTGAGGTAGAATTCAGTGATTCCTCACTTACCTACAACACCCAGTCCTCATCACAACAAGTGCCCTCCTTGATGCCCACCCCCTGTCTAGCCCATTCCCTGCCCACTGCCCTCTATCAACCCTCGGTTTGTTCTCAGTCGTTAAGAGTGTCTTACTGTTCATTTCCCTATCCCCTTCCTCCCCTCTCCATATGTTCATCTGGTTTGTTTCTTAAATTCCATGTATGAGTGAAATCATATGGTATTTGTCTTTCTCTAACTTGACTTATTTCACTTAGCGTAATACCCTCCAGTTCCATCCACATCGTTGCAAATGGCAAGATTTCATTCCTTTTGATGGCTGAATAATATTCCATTGTATATATACACCACACCTTCTTTATCCATTCATCCGTCGATGGACACTTGGGCTCTTTCTGTAATTTGGCTATTGTAGATAATGCTGCTGTGAACATCGGGGTGCATGTGCTCCTTTGAATCAGCATTTTTGTATCCTTTGGGTAACTACCCAGTAGTGCAATGGCTGGGTCGTAGGGTAGCCCTATTTTTAACTTTTTGAGGAACCTCCACACTGTTTTCCGGAGTGGCTGCACCTGCTTGCATTCCCACCAACAGTGTAGGAGGGTTCCCCTTTCTCCACATCCCCGCCAACACCTGTTGTTTCCTGACTTGTTAACTTTAGCCATTCTGACTGGTGTGAGGTGGTATCTCATTGTATTTTTGATTTGCATTTCCCTGATGAGGAGTGATGTTGAGCATCTTTTAATGTGTCTGTTGGCCATTTGTATGTCTTTGGGAGATGTCTGTTCATGTCTTCTGCCCATTTCTTAACTGGATTATTTGTTTTGGGGGGCTATGCTGTCTCACAGGGGAGGTGGAAATGAAGCTTGAGGGCCATCTGGATTTGACTTCCTTCAGTCTATATTTGGCCCTTGACGGCTCATTAAATATGAGCCCCTATCAGCTGTGATTGGTGTCAGGTTTTAGCAGTATCTGTGGCAGTAATTAGTGGCCATCTGTCTGAGAATGGGTGTTGACAAGGTCCCTTGAAGTTGGATCTGGTGCCAAGTTACATATTTCACATCCTGATTGGTTCACATTATGAACCACTATTCCAGATGGTTGTGTAGGGCTGTTTGGGTTAATTTGTTTATTTCAGAATTAGGAAAAGAGAATTAATCTCTGCCCTTACCTTATTTTTCCTGCCTATCCCCCAGGGCTGGACATATCTGTATCACAGTAGTTGAAGTTCTTTACCATCTTTGACTATACTTCCGATTGTCCTTTTCCAGAGTGTTGAGTTGCTCATGAATTGCCATTTTGTCATCATGCATTTCCTTTGGGGACAGAGGATGGTCATCCTAGAACCACATCAGACAGAGTCTTTGTCCAGTCTCATTTACATCCCTGTGTCCCTAATCTGAGCAGTATGAACTGCCTTTCTTCATACTGAGGTCAAAGTTGGCACGAATAACAAGGTTAGAATAGACTTCCTCCTCACATTTATGCTGTTCAACAATCCCCTCACATGTGTCCTGATCGAAGGGAATGGCAAGGCATGGTTCTTTTTCAAGTTCTCATTGTTTTTTTACTTCCCGATTCATGTGTGCTAGTCACTCAGCCATGCAGAAGGTCGATGTGGTGTTGGTACGTAATTGAAGACCCGGGATCAGCTAGCTACTTAGAAGTCGTCTAGGGAGAGGCTCGTGTATTTGGCAAATAGTTCCAAGTTTCACTAACAACGTCGTTAATCATTCCAGTCCTTTATGGTTATTTCATTTCCATGTTGGGCTTGAATATGGATCCAGGGATTAGAGTAGAGATGAAGGCTGAACATTGTGGTTGGCTTTTTAGTCCAGATGCTTCCTTTTAGTCGTGGTTGCTTCATCCGGGCTTATGGATGTGCAACATAGAGATTAAGTTTGTGATTAATTGTTGTGTCTGTTCCCAGTGGGTGTGGTCCTCCATATGGGTATGTCTGTGGAGCCAAGTTGGATGTGGATGGCCCCATGGCCTGAGTACAGTCAGACCAGTGTTCCTCTAACAGGAGTGATTTTGTCCCCCTGGGGTATCACAGTTGGGAGGTCCGTGCCAGGGCCATCCTAAAATGCACAGGGCATCTCCTCACAAGAGATGATTTTCCAGCACAAGTTGCCCGTAGTGCTGAGGTCGAGCTCCTCTAGTTCTGACCTATCAATCCCTGTACTGATCTGTTCAGTAAGCCTCTTTGTGACATGCTCTGTTGCCAGAAACACTACCCGAGGTCAGCTCATTGTACGGGATATTCAATGCTCTGGATTGCCAGAAATTTTACCTATGGGTAGTGGATGGCTGTAGCATTCCTTAGGATTTTGTTACCTGCGATTATTTGCAGACATCAGTAATTCTGTGCACCTGGAGGGTAGAGGGGTCACAGGCAATGACTGAGTTATAATTGCTTAGATTCCTTCCAAGGTTGCCATTTGCAGCCTTGCAAGAGTTGCCATTCAAGCCTGGGCACACGTTTGTTGACCAGATGAATAGGCAATAGTAGAAATTCCAGGTATGGAATATGCTGCTTCTAATGGGCCAAGAAAGTAATCATCATTCTCTTTGTATACAGTGACTGTAAAGACAGCAGTATTCTTAATGGGCTGTGTGGGCTGTCTCCTTGGGCAGTGTCAGTTTGGTTATTTGGTTGGTAGGGTTTTGTATTTGTCCTCACTTAGATCCTGTTCATCTTTAGCTAGTCAGCCTGGAATGGTATTCAATAGAGTGTGAGCAGTTTTGTCAGGAGAGACCATTACCAAGATGTTATCCATGTAATGGAATGTTTGGACCTAGATGGCAGTTCACATGGTACTTGGATTTATCTAGGTCAGATGATAATATAGTTCCGAAGAGTTTGGACCTGGAAACAGATACAATGTCTGTTACAAATGTTGACCAAACCAAACCCAATTCTCAAACCTGATCCAGGTTCAGAACCAAGATAATAAACATGTCAATTTGGACTTTCCCTGGAAAGAGAGTAGGAGACCAAATCTTACACTTGTATCCAATCGTTTTGTCTCTGGGGTTCTCAAAAGTACACTGACGATTTTGTGTCCCAAAGAAAAAATGGTCAAAACGAACTTTGCCATGAACTCTGTAGGTTAGCTCCAGTGTAAATCGAGGCCTGATGTCATTCGGACTGTGTCGGGCTTAATAGTTCCTTGTCTGATAGTTTCTAACGGTAGGACATCGGATTAAATCCAGGGGTCCTATTTAGACAGTGAGCCATTTACTTGGAGATTTTTTAAAATTCTAGGTCAAAATAATACATGCACAGTTTACAAAACCAAATAGTACAGAAGGCAGTAGTGTTCTGTCCCTCCCCTCCTCCTGACTAGTCCTATTCACCAGAGAAAACGAGGTATTTTTCGGTTTTAACATTTTATTGAAGTGTGTGTGTGTGTGTGTGTGTGCAGTTTATGAATTTTTACAAACAGAATACACCTGTGTAGGCACCCAGGTCAAGATCTAGAACTTGACGTGCACTCCAGAAACCCCCTTATTTACCACGCTCCCCCATAGGGCTAACCGTGTTTCTGACTTACGACACCATAGATAGTTTTGCTTGTATCGTTTGTTGCGTAAATGCAAAAGAGAAGAGGCGCCGGAGTCCTGTGGGTGGACTGGCTCCCACAGCCCGGCTTCGGTGTCCCCCTCTTGAACGTGAGTCATTTCTCAGCACCAGCACCCCACAGGCCCGCCGTGACTGGACTCAAGTCGCAGCCCCGAACAAGAGTGCATCCCGTATCACATCAGTGTTCCAGCTAATTGGAGTGACTTCTGCTTTCGTTTTTTTTTTTAAATCAGTTATGTAGTTCCCCTCCACTTCTCTCCCCTCCTAGATAAACATTATTAAGATACCAGGCATAGGGTTGTCTGTATCCATTCCCCAGCAAAACCACACTGTCCTTTTTTTTTTTTTTAAAGATTTTATTTATTTATTTGAGAGAGAGAGAGAGTGAGAAAGACAGCACATGAGAGGGGGGAGGGTCAGAGGGAGAAGCAGGCTCCCTGCCGAGCAGGGAGCCCGATGCGGGACTCGATCCAGGGACTCCAGGATCATGACCTGAGCCGAAGGCAGTCGCTTAACCAACTGAGCCACCCAGGCGCCCAAAACCACACTGTCCTTGAACCATTTTCCAGTCACCTGCCGTGAGGCCTGTCCTGTGCTAAGCCCCGTGTCTCTGTACCGTCCTCCCGCGTCCATGCAGAGTCTCAGGAGGACTTCTCATTGCAAACTGCCAGCCGGCAGCATTTGTTCTGTTTGTCTTCTACAGTTTGTGTGTATGTCAAGTTTGCTAAAGTTACGTATTTTTAAAGCATTTGTTTGTTTCAAACAAATTGCCAAATGTATTGGTGTGTTTTTTATGTAATGTTCTCATAACTTTTTGATTTCAGTTGGTTTTGTAATGATGTCTCCCTTTTTCTTGACATTGATAATTTTTCTTTTTATCCTCCATCCATCTTCAGGGAGCGTTTATCAGTTTTACTAATCTTTTCAAAATACCAACTTTTAACTTTGTTTGCCGGGAACGGCCAGCAACCTCTGTACCGAAGGATGAAAGATGACTCCAAACTTTGCTGTGAAAGAGAGGGAAAGGCAAGGGGGTCATAGCTCAGAGACGAAGACCCTTTGCTCTTCTTTGCTCCCGCTTTTATTGGTCCTTCAGGATAATCACAGATCCTTAACGCTGTTTCTCAAGCATGTGATGTGTGACAAGGGGTCTTAACTGGAACTAGGAGGATCTGTTTATGGGAAAGCTACGATGTGCTAATCTGCATGTTCTATGAGTTCTGCTAAACATAGCCTAGGGGACAACGCACACATCTCTTAGATCCCCGGGCGGCTGTTTGGCCTAGAGAGTTTTGGGGAAGGCAACTCCCCGCGACATTCCTACGGCAGAGTGGTCATGCGGGCCTTGTCATTCCAAAGGCCCACACCCTCCTCCGAAACCTTCCCTCGCCCCCACCTCTGTGTTACATTTTAGCAAGCCAGGTATTATGGCTGATTTCATGCTCTACATGAACCCCAATATTTGTTGATTTCCTTTTTTAAAAAATTTTTTAATTTTAATTTTTGTTTTGTTTCAAGTTTTTATTTGGATTCTAGTTAGTTAACATACAGTACAATATTGGTTTCAGGAGTAGAATTCAGTGATTCATCACTTATATACGACACCCACACAAGTGCCCTCCTAAATGCCCATCACCCTCTTTATTGTATTTTTGAACTGGTTTTTGCTCTTTATTATTTCATTCCTGTTGTTTTTCCTTAGGTTTCCTTTGGTGTTCTTTTTTCTAGATTCTTGAGATGGAAATTCAAGATACTGATATTTAATCTTTTTTTAATATATGCATTTATGTCTATAAATTTCCCTCTCAGCCCTCCTCCAGCTTCATACCAGAGTCCTGATTTCTTCTTCAATTCATTGAATTACATAGCTTTATTGTTACTTAATTTCCAGGTAGTTGGAAATTTTCTCGTTCCCGTTTTTGTTGCTGATTTTCAGCATAACTCCATTATGGCCAGAGAACTTACTCTGCAGTATTCAGTTGTTTGAACCCTGTTGTGCTTTCTTTATAATAGGACATTTCATTACATTTCATTTTTCCATGTACACTTGAAAATTATGTGAAATTTGCTGTTGTTTTAATTTTTTCTAAAGTCAGTTAGGTCAGGTTTGTTCATTGTAGTGTTTTCTGTGTCTTTACTCTTTTTTGCTTTGTTTTTCTCAATCATATGTTGAGAATTTCTTAAAGGTTCTATGATTTTTGAATTTGTTTTTCTTTCAGTTCTTTTCGTTTTTGCTTTAAATATTTTGAAGCTGTGTTTTGGGGTGCATACATATTTGAAAATGTGATTTTTCCTGTTTGGGTTATTTTCTTTATCGTTATGAAATGTCCTCCTTTTTCTTCAGAAATGTATCAAGTTTTAGAGTCTGATATTAGAATGGTTACACTACTTTGGGGGCCTAGTGTTTGCATGGTAATAATTTTTATTCTTTTACTTTCAATTTTCTGTTGGCCTTGTTTCTCAAGGGCACCTCTCTTCAGTTTATCACTTGGTTTTCATTTTCACTCACTGTGCGGTCTTCCTGTTTGTCGCATAATTTAACGCAGCTAACCAGATCATGTGATACCTGATCCAGTTTTGTAATTAACTTGATTTTTTTTTTTTGATAAAACATTTCCTGTTTTTTTGATGGGTCACCCTACATATAACAGTATATATCTTTGACTTCTTATTTTACTACAAATAAATACTTTGCCACTTCTCCAGTGCACTTTACTCCGTAGACCCCTGCCTGCCTTTGCATTATTGTTGTGATATGTTGTCATGGTGACATGATGTTATAATGACTGCTTTTAAAATCTGTATTTACACAGATTGTTCCTTCCTATGGTTCTCACATTCTCCCATCATTTCCATCATCTCCTCATTTACATCTAGGTTATTTTTCTTTTCTTTTAAATTTTAATTCTTGTTTAGTTCACAGGCAGGGTTCTGTTAGTGTCAGGTGTGTGATCCTGTGATTGAGCACTTTTGTACCCGACTCAGTGCTCAGCATGGTGAGTGTGCTCTTCATCCCTGTCCACATTACTTTTCTTCTGTCTGAAGCATTTCCTTTTCTATTTCATTTCGTGAAGGCCCACTGGAAACAAACCTCTTGTTCTTGTATTTTTGAAGGATATTTGTTTTTCTGCCTGACATGGAATTCTGGGTTGGTATTTATTTTCTTTAGCACTTTAAAGTTTTTATTCCTTCATCCTCTAGCTTATGTCATTCCTGTTGAGAAATCACCTGCTGGTTTTATTGTTGCTCTTTAGTAAGTGATGTGTCATTTTTCTCTGGATGCTTTAAAACTTTTCTTTGTCACTGGTTTGATTATGATGTCCTTAGGATTGGTTTTCTTTGCATTTATCCTGCTTAAGTTTTCCTGGAACATTCCATCTGATGTAGAAGTATTTCACTGGGCTTTTAAATTTGTGTTTTTATAATGGTGATTGTAGTTTTGCTACAAAAGATTCCTTTTTGGACATTTATATATCCTTTTTCATAAAGTGCTTATTGAATTATTTTCATATTAACTTAAAAAAGTTTTTAAGTAAAATTTAAAAATCTATCCTGGAGTTCTCAAAAATTCCTTACGATACTTTTCTTAGTCTTTGAAAATAATATTTGAAAGTGTGTATTTTATACTTTAAAAATAAATTGTGTCAGTTTAAAATTGTAAGTTGTGGGTATAATTGCTGATTTGTTTCTCTGTATGTGTTGTATATCACTGTTTTTTTAAATTTTGGAATATACTCCTTTATGAGGCAGAACTTTGTTTTTTCTTACTTTAATTTCTCATCTCAGATCACTTGTATATGGCAGTCTGAATAAATCCTTTTGAAGTTAATAATGGGCATCTTTGCAATTACTCATATTATTGATAATATTAGGTTTTTACCGGCTCATTCTGTCTTTAAGTAGTACGTCTTAAAAACTAGTAAAATGAACACTTTTTGAATAAAGATTTATGTATTTTAGAGAGAGTGAGAAGAGACAGCATGAGCAGCAGGAGGGATGGAGGGAGAAGGAGAGAGAAAATCTCAAGCAGACTCCCCACTGAGCAGGGAGCCCCATGTGGGGCTCAATCCCAGGACCCCAGGATCATGACCTGAGCTGAAGTCACGCACTTAACTGACTGAGCTACCAAGGCCCCCCCAATGAACACTTTTTAACTAATGAATTCTGTAGAGGATAGTATATAATTATTTTTTGTGTCATCTATAATCAGTCATTTCAGAAAAATTTGGAATGAAATGAAATATACGTATATATTTCTTTGATACTTCAGTATTCCCGGGATCAAATTAATGACTAGTGTTTAGCCCTGTTTGTATATGTGCTGATTAATAGGGCATTCTGGCTAATAGTCTTTTGGCTAGCTAACTGTTGCTATTCTGTACTCTACTGAAAAGCCTATGCTACCAACTATTTAGAAATACTAGGAAATATAAATTATATTTTTTAATGTCATGAAGCAAAAGACAGAATATTGAAGCCAACTAATTGTGTCATTTTAAACAAATAGGACCGCGTTATGTGGTACAAATAGGTGACAAAATTATTGACTACAATGAAGAATTCCGCCTTTTCTTGTCAACAAGAAACCCGAACCCCTTCATCCCGCCAGATGCAGCCTCCATCATTACGGAGGTTAACTTCACTACAACAAGAAGTGGGTTGCGAGGACAGGTATGTATGGGCAATAAGAAGTGACCTCAGAAATCTCCTGTAGCTTTGGGTACTCAGGAGATACTCTGAATTGGAATCAACTTTGTGGAAGTGATTAGTATTTAAACTTTTGAAACCATCTTGAAACTACATTTGTGAGTTAGAGTCAAGCTTTCGGGTTTACGTTATCATTTGTGTTAGACTTGGGCGCTTGTTAACATCGAATCACTGCTTCTCCCACTATTACGTTAATTTTAGGGTCGATTTCTGTCATGTGTGGTAGAGTTTGAGAGAGAGAAGGCTCATAGATTGAGATCAGCTACGTTTTCTAATTGTGAAAAACTGAAGTTGAAATGTGAGAATTGCATTTAATTGACCTGTTTGGCTGGTTGAGGGCGGGTGTTGGATTCCCCATCTGACCTTTTCTTCCCCACTAGAACATATGTGTCTTTGAATTTTTGTATCTGTGTATGACTTTTTATAATTTAGATCATTATTTGACTCTCAAAATGAGTTTTTATATCTAGGCTTTTACTTAATGTAGTTCCTTACTCATTTTCCTTTTAAGGCTATCATGCCTGTTGACTTTGAGTCATTCCATTTTTTACTCACCTAACAATTGTAGACTCTTCCTGTTTTGATTTCATATGATAGTATGTATATTTGTTACAATTTTTACTTAATTATAATTTTTAAGAATTTCCTTTATTTTTTCTTATAATAACATACAGCTCACAGCATGTATTTTTATGGATAGTATCTTTTGACTTACTTGATGATACGTCTTATGAATAAAACTGTGAAGGGATTACTCAAAGCATGGCAGAATTAATTGACAGAATTGCTCGTTCTCTCTAGAACCTGTCCATCCCCTCGCGAAAGGGGCTGTTCAGATCCGTAAGAAGTGCTCAGTGAGGATGCTTGTCCAGCAGATTCGCATTTACATGTTTTATGACCTGCCAATGTCATCCCCTAATTTAAAGTTTCAAAATGAAGAATTTGACATAGCATTTTAAAAATAGCTTTATTAAGATTCAATTAATTCACCCATTTAAAGTGTACAATTCAGTGGTTTTTTTAGTGGACTTGCGGGGTCTTATGGTAACTCTGTTTAACATTTTGAAGAACAGACTTTCCCGAAGTGACTGTGCTTTACTTTCCCGCCAACAACGTCTAAGGATTCCACTCTCTCCCCATCTTGCCAACACATGTTATTTGTGTTTTTAATTGTAGCCATCCTAATGGGGATGAAATGGTATCTTGTTGAGACTGTGATGATATAGTATTTTAAGTAATATATCTCTTTATTTCTTTATATGAATATTTGACACTAAAAAAACTAGTTTTCATATATTTTATCTAATCTTAGAAAAATGTTACATATTGATATATTATGTAATGCAATTTCTTACAGATGTCCTATAATATTTAATACTTTATTGATCAGTTTATTTTGCTTCTTTTTTTGTCAGAAATAATTGTGAAGTGTCTCATGTTTAACTAGAAAGAATCAAATGAGGTACATAAAATCGTAATAAATTTGGTCAAGCACAAGGCCTGTTTGTGGGAAGTTTATGTTTTGTCTTGTTTGAACTTTACCGCTAAAATAACTTTGACTTAAAAAAATTTTTTTTTAAGCTTTTGGCTTTAACTATTCAGCATGAGAAACCTGACTTAGAGGAGCAGAAAACAAAACTATTACAACAGGAAGAAGATAAGAAAATACAGTTAGCCAAGCTTGAGGAATCTCTTTTAGAGGTAAAATTTAGTTATTCAGGATGCTTTCTTATATTACAGTTTTTTAGTGAATATAATTAGCAGGTTTTTAAAAATTTAATAGTACCGTCCACATGGTTTTGGTTGTGCCAAAGACATGTCAATATATATCTTAAAATCAAAATTCAAAGAGAAAAAAGTAGATGTCTTAGAATACAAGATCTTAAGAAGGAATGGTAATTAATGTCTAAGACAAGTGATTTTTAAGTAATACTGTATACTGTATTATTTCACTAATATTTAGTTATCTATTATATGCTTAGAATTTCAAGCAGCATTAAAATGTAGCATAAAATTATGATTTAATCTGTAACTTTAAGTAGTTTTTATTTTTATTAGATTGATAAAATTAATACATATGCAATGCTTTGATGATACGGTATATCATGATTAACTCTTATTCTCATAAGCTATAAAATGTTGAAATTCTTTTAAAATAATACAAGTTTTCATAAACATCAAATTAATGATAGTTAATATGGGCTTCTTTTATTTGGTTATTTTAACATGTATGATAATGTTCACATTATTTTATTAATTTTTGCTGCAGACACTTGCCACATCCCAAGGGAATATTTTGGAAAATAAGGATTTGATTGAATCTTTGAATCAGACGAAAGCAAGCAGTGCACTTATTCAGGAGTCACTGAAAGAATCTTACAAACTCCAGATTTCCCTTGACCAAGTAATTATTTCCCTTTTTTTTTTCTTTTTGGTGATCTATATCATGTTTTCTTAAATTTTTATGTTAATATGATTAGACAGTGTAGAGTCAGGACTTTGGGGGAATGACGATTACAAAAAAAGAGAGCTCTTCAGAAACCCCAGAGCCGTGGGTCTGATCGATCCTGCTGTAGAGAGGGGGTGAGAGGCTCAGGGCGCCGAGAATAAGGTCTGCCAGCCTCTGCTGACTTCTGGAATAACGTGATCTCAAGTTCTGGGGCCACAGTTTTATACTGAAATTGAAAATGAGAGTATTGGAACTGACTGTTAAAAGCATCTGTGCCATTCCTGGAGCTTTTTAAAATTAAGGCATGTTTAGTATATTAAGTAAGAGTTGTAAGGTGTCTTTTCTGTTAAAAAATTTTCTTCCCTTAAAATGCTTTTTGCCTTTCTTTTGATAATCCCTTTTGCAGAATTCTAACCCAAGTTCAAAACAGTCTGTCTTTTCTTCTCCTACATTCTAATGATTGAGCTTTGCTTGAAGGCAAACAGACGCCCAAACAGATGAGTGCTACTGTGCATTTCCAGGCTCCAGCCTGACCTGGGCCCTCACTGACCACGTCCTTTCATTCTTTGCCAGGTCGTCTCGGTGACCCTGTCACGTTTTCCTTTCAGTATTTTTCAGCCCTTGTCCAAATCGTACACTTACATATCATAACTGTTTTACTTGGGAAAGTGCTCTGTTGAAGCAGAATAGGAACAGATTGATAGCCCGCTTCTAACCCAGCCCCCTTGGTTTCTCTAGCATGGTTTTGCTGCGCCTCTCGTTTTCTGTTTCACAGCACGGGGATGCCAAAATTCCTGGCCTTCTCCTTCTGCACAAGTGTCACTGAGTCAGCCCTGTAACGTTCCCAGCATCACGTTTGTCATCCTGGTGCTCAGATCACAGTGACTCCTCACAGTCCTGTTGGGAACCTGAGGCCGTTCACTTCGAGGATCCCTTCCCTTCTGCCTCAGAGGAAGTCCCTGTGCGCACGCCGAACAGTGCCGGGGGCTTTCTTCCTGGGTGCAGACACCTGTTCCAGTCTCTGCTCCCGTCAGCGTTCCTGTGGGCCCCAGCCCCCCGCACACTCCCGACTCGGGGTTGCGACTCTCCTCTCCTGCAGGGGGGTAGTGGAGCCAGGCCCTGGCATCACCTAAACCGCTTCTCTCTTGAAATACAAGATGGCATCGTTCATTCTCGGATCATAATTGCCTACCTTTTCTCCTTACCTTCTCCGTCATACAAGTGCTCTTGGTCCTCCGTACGGTCACCCGTGAACCACTTCTACCTCTGTCATCCGGGAGCTAGAGAATTCTTTAAATACATTGCCCTCAGTTTTATAAGAATAAGGAAACTAGATGGTATCATTCCCTTTAGTTACACAGTTCTGTGATTGGTCGTCGTATTTGCTGCACGTTATGTAGGACTGGTAAGGGTGGCTCGCTGGGAGCGGAGCGGCCTGTAGGTGGCAGGCGAGCACTAGCACTAAGATGTTTTTCCCACCCAACCTCTGATCCACAGGAGCGGGACGCCTACCTTCCTCTGGCCGAGAATGGCAGCAAGATGTACTTCATTATCTCTGACTTGTCCAAAATTAATAACATGTACCGTTTTAGTTTGGCTGCATTTCTCCGACTTTTCCAGCGAGCTCTGCAAAACAAACAGGTATGCTCTCCGTTACCCCACAGCTGATGCTGAGTAATAGAGGTCCTTGACTAGGTACTTAGAGAAAGAATTTCCTGAGAAAACTTCAGAATTCTATTTCAGAAGACCACATCCAACAATTTTAAGGTGTATCTAAAGAAACTAGCTCCTTAATTGTATTTTATGTTCTTAACAAACTACCCCAGTGCAACAGTCTTTTTAATGGAAATGATTTCAGTTCTGAGCACAAATTAATAAGTAATAGATTATCATTAAAATGGTATAAAGAAGTTATCTACATAATCTCATTCCTTGGGGGAAAACAGCATTGAAGATTTCGTGTCCCTGTGTGCCGTCTGGGGCCGTGGTGCATGCCGGGTGTTGTAGTTAAGGGGGTAGAGGAGTGCCCTCTGCGCGATCAAGTTTGTGTGCTGACAGAGGGAAGGGAGTCTTAATGGATATAAATGGTCTTAACCCGAAGGTAGCACGCTGGCTTTACGTCAAGTGTTAATATATTGCAGACAACTTTCGTGCCATAAGTAGAAACCTGCATATGGTATTTTTGAAGATTGAGACACTGTACAGTGCGAGCCCTGTAAGCACGTGCTGTGTGGACGTTTTCCTGATTATCTGTGCTGAATGTCACTGTACCCCTAACTTGGCAGATCAGACAGTGTTTTTCTTCGGCTCATGGGTTCTGTGGGAATTGGGTCAGGGCCGAGCAGAGATGGCTTACCTCTCTTTCACAGTGTTGGGACCTCAGTCGGGACATGAGAGGAGGGGGGCGGTGGCTGGGGCCTGGGGCCTGAGGGCTGGGTGAGGAGGACCCCGTGCTGGGCTTCCTGGCGCACAGAGTAGTGGATTTCTCTCTTTTTTTTTCTTTAAAGATTTTATTTATTTATTTGACAGAGAGAAATAAGAGACAGCGAGAGAGGGAACACAAGCAGGGGGAGTGGGAGAGGGAGAAGCAGGCTTCCCGCAGAGCAGGGAGCCCGATGCGGGGCTCGATCCCAGGACCCTGGGACCATGACCTGAGCCGGAGGCAGACGCTTAACGACTGAGCCACCCAGGTGCCCCAGAGTAGCGAATGTCTGATAGGACATCTTGGGGGCCACACGTGTATTCCAGTCCGTGAGGCGGAAGCTGTGATAAGTCAACCTGGGGTCGGTGTCATCCGTGCTGTCTGTTGTTTGGCGGAAGCAGTCGAGAGGGTGGGGGAGGAGGCCTCACCTCCTGACAGAAGGATGTCACAGAACACGCTTATGTATTAAGACAGCGACAGACATTATTGATGGTTTCTCCTTTTTTCAGTGGGTTGCTCCTCTAGTTTTCTTCTCAGTTAAATCCCCAGACTTGGATGACTGGGCCAAAGTGCCCGTGTGTAAGCTTTCAGACAAATGTCGTCTCATCACCTTTGGAAACGTGCTGTTGGCGTATGGAACTGAGGTGGCGAGAGCACCTTGTCCATCTGTAGCTCCGCCAACAGTGGATTATACATATATCTTCGATAATTTTTGCATGAAAAATTTCTCATAAATTACTTAGAAAGTACACAATTATAAGTTCATTTTAAATTCTTTCTTGTCCTTTCGTCAAAAAATATTTCTGTGAAAAGTCAGTGACTCTGAAGGAGTGTGAGAACCGATGAACAGGTTAGCAGTTCTGCCTGAACCCAGTGAGAACATTGGTTATTCTGTGCTCTTTACAAAAGCGTGTATCTCTGTCTCCTCAGGAGCCGCCGGTCTTCGGTAGTGTGGCTACTGAATAACATTGACCTTTGTGTGTGTGCGTGCGTGTGTGTTTGTGCATGTGCACGTTTGTGCGTGTGTATGTTTGTGCGAGTTTGTGTTTGTGCATGTGCATGTTTGTGTGTGTGTGTGTGTATGTTTGTGCGAGTTTGTGTTTGCATGTGCATGTTTGTGTGCATGTGTATGTGTGTGTTTATGCGTGTACATGTGCATGTTTGTGTGTGTGCATGTTTGTGTGTGTGTGTGCATGTTTGTGCGTGCGTGTGTATGTGCGTGTTTGTGCGTGTACAGTGCATGTTTGTGCATCTGCGTGTGTGTGTGCATGTGCGTGCGTGCACGTGTGTGCATGTGTATTTGCGTGTTCAAGTGTATGCACATGTGTATGTGTGTGCGCGTATGTATGTGTGTGCATGTGCATGTTTGTGTGTGTGCGTGTGCTTGAATTCATTTTTAAAAGCAATATAATTTCAAATATGTAGAGTACAGAACTTGCTCTGCAGTGTGCTGGAGATCCATTAGATCTTGCTGCAGTGCACGATAGAGTGTCTTTGAGTGGATCCAGGGTTCCGTGTCACATGTGGTCTTCGTGAAGGAGTAGTGAAAGGGAGAGGGTGTTTTGCATGTGAGCTGTCAGGTAGGACGGGTACTTCCAGGGCCGAGGTCTGCTACATCTGAGCGCCACCCCATGAGGTTTTGTGCTGGTCCCACGTTGCCCTGCCTATCCTGGATGCATTTCTCTGAACTGTTAACAATTGTCTTGTGAGGTTTTTATTGTCAGTTTTAATCATAAGGAAACAAAATTTAGCCTAAATAGTACACCAGGATTGAACTTTTCAAGGCCGGTATCCTCCCAAGTGCTCCCTGAGGTGAGAGGTAAACCTATCACACTTAGGGAACAGACCAGCCTTGACAGTCTCCTCTGCCCGTTTCTACACCGAGCTCTTCTTCAGTAAGCAGAGGAAGTAGCCATTAGTGATATTTTCCAAATCATGGCAGTCCTGTATGATACAGAAATACAAAACATGAAAAACTAAAGGTGCTATGATTTCTTAAACAGCATCAGCATCAAATTTATTGTTCATCCTTAGTTAACATGGAAGGCATGGTTTAAGGTTGTTTAGGTTCTTATATTGAGGATGAGAAAATTCTATATTGGGTGTGGTTCTGGTCACCCTGTTTTCAGGCTGGATTGATCATTGTAATACAAGGAATGAAATGGGTTTAACCCATACTCATAGAGTATTCTTAATGCCATTAGGTATCAAAGTGGTATCATCAAATTCAGTTCATGTTGTATTATTGGAAGTTGACTGTAATTTTCATTCATTGAAAGCCTTAACTCTGTGCATTAAAGAAAAATACATCAAGTATTTTTATCATATTAGTGTACAAATTTAATGCCCTTGTTCGTTTGGTCCCTTGAGTTGACAAAGATAGTTGTTCCGGAATCAGCTTTGAGTCTGGAGGAACAGTATATAAGTGTGATTACGCTATGGGTATCATTTAAATGTTTATAAATTTCCTAATGGTTTTTCAGTTTTCAAATTGTAATCTACAGGATTCTGAAAATACAGAACAGAGAATCCAGTCTCTTATCAGCTCATTAAAACATATGGTCTATGAATATATATGCCGTTGTCTATTTAAGGTAAGAAATACTGTTTTTTCATGTGTAAAATACTACTTGTACTTTGATTTAATACAGTGTTACAGTTAAGTTGTATAACCTTTATCTACTGGAAAGGTGTTGAAATTGGCACTTTTGATACTTTCCCAGAATGATGTTCATTGCTAAGTGGAAGGTCTCACGGCCTTGCGGGATATGGTTGGGATGGAGGAGAATGACGCGTGAGGAAGGGAGGGCAGACATGCCGTAGGTCAGCCGCCGTGGCTCTGGACGCCCAGTATCCCAGGAGAACGGGTCATTTTCTAGCTGCACTCGGTGTCCCTGCCTCAGCACTGTTCCCAGTTTGCACCACATGAGTATTTGTTGTGGGGTCTCTTTGGGAGCACTTCCTCTACACACTTGTTAAAATAAAAACTCTCTCTTGACATTGCCAGTGTCCCCTGGGTAGGGGATGAAACTGGTTCCATTCCCGCCATTAGGCAGTAAACTAATGCCTGAGTTATGAAATTTGTCACAGACGTCTTCATATTACAAGGGCCTCTGAGGAATATAAAATGAAATGTATTTTAGAAATTTTTGAATATTGTAGAAACAGAGGATTTTGTCTTAGGATTTTTTTTTTTTTTTTTTAATTACCAATCTTTGGGGATAGGTTGAGGAAGAGCTTTGTAAAGGCAATTAACTGCATGAGAGAAATAGAGTTATTATGGTACAGTTATGTAGAGTTCTTAGAAAATTTTGGAAAAGATAGAGTTAATACATTCTTTAGAAAGGGACAGTAACTTACGAGTAGAGTCAAAATGTTGACGATCTTTACTTGAGACAAGGGGTATTACTGGAAGCTCACAGACCTATAGTTGGGTATTTCTGCAGAATGTTTCTTTAATGAGAACTCTAGCGATACCTTTATAGGTCTATAGACAGTATATCTGTGTATTTTGGAGGTCTTTCCCTCTAAAAATCACCTATTTGGCCCCCAGTTTTAACTTACATATATGTCTGGAATTATAAGCAGATGATCTCAAAACCCATTTTGTTCCTAAAACGTTATGACCTTAGATAGATATGAGGATGGCATCTCTAACATTTGTATGATGTATTATTGCACATAGTACTTAAACATTTTTATTACACAGACACAACTTAAAAATATTTTCTGAAAGACTTTCAAACTTTATCGGACTATATATAGCGGCGCCTGGGTGGCTCAGTCGGTTAAGCGGCTGTGATCTCAGGGTTCTGGGATCGAGCCCCACATCGGGCTCCCTGCTCAGAGGGGAGTCTGCTTCTCCCTCTCCCTCTGCCTGCCGCTTTGCCTACTTGTGCTCTCTATTTCTCTGTCAAATAAATAAATAAAATCTTTAAAAGAAAAACTTTATGGGACTATATACATATATAGAAAAACTATATAGAAGAACCTTTCGTCATTTCTCCCCGTTCCGCTGCTTCACTCCATTAGAGTAAACCAGTCCAAGGCTCAGTTGGCTCTTTATTGTCTGTTTCCTTTCTCTTCATGTGCATGTGTGCAAATACGTAATGTTTTTTCTTTTCCTTATTATGTATTTTGTTCTCTTGCATTTCTTTTGTTGTGACAGGTCCTGAAGATCTTTCCAAAAGTAGAACTATGTTAACCTCATTATTTTTAGTGATTGTGTGGTATTCCGTAATATGGTCATATGTTGTTTTATCTACTACTCTGTTGGTGGATATTATTTATATATATATTTTGCTATTATGAGTGAACACAGTGAAATTCTGTAAATCTATCTTTATGTACATATGTAGGTATTTCTATTCATTAGATTTCTTCATGGAAGTATAATTGCTGGTCCAAGAAAAGATACCTTTCAAATTTTGTTGAATATTATCAAATTGCCTTCTAGAAGTTTTTTATCAGTTAATAATTTTACCCACAGAGTAATTAAGGTATCTCCTTCCTTGTATCCTTGTCAACCCTGGATATATTATTAGTCTTTCTATTTTTAATCAAGTTACGGTTTACAAATATTTTTTTATCTCCTCTGCATTTTTATTAAAACTTTATTTTTACCTTCCTCCCTTATTTGCTATGTTTGTTGATTTCCTTGATATTTTTTTTTTTTAATTTTTTTTTTTTTAAGATTTTATTTGCGAGAGAGAGAATGAGAGACAGAGAGCATGAGAGGGAGGTCAGAGGGAGAAGCAGACTCCCTGCTGAGCAGGGAGCCCGATGTGGGACTCGATCCCGGGACTCCAGGATCATGACCTGAGCCGAAGGCAGCCGCTTAACTGACTGAGCCACCCAGGCGCCCGATTTCCTTGATATTTTAAAGAATACGCTTTACATTACAGAACAAGTCTACTTTATTGTAATTGTTTTTGTATTTTATTTTTTATTTTTAATTGCTTTATTGGATTTATATTTTGATTGCTATGTTATGAATTTTTATAATTAGTTTTTGAATGTAGCTTTAATCTTTCTTGTTTTTCTAGTGAATATGTTAGAGCTGCAAGGTTTCATTTCGATCACTCTCCTAATAATATATTTAATGCTTTTTTACTTTCCTTTCAAGGCCTGTGCACTAAAATAGGCTGTGATTTGTGAAAATATCACAGACCTGCACTTATTTTAAGGTGCCACCAAAATCCTTATGAAAGTAGATGTGTTATAAATAAGTATTATTCTTGAAAAATGTTTAAGTGGAAAGATAATATAAACTTTCATATTCATTCCAAAGGTTAGTAGTTTATTAGGAATTTCTTGTTTTTGACCCATATATCTGTGCCTCTGCTTATATATTCTTACTTTATTTTTAGCAATACAGTATATTTACTGGTGAGATTTAAATCCTTATGTCGTACATTTTGTAATGTAATTAGGGAAAGCTATATGTTCAGCATCAAGACGATTTAATGTATCAGTGCAGTTTAGTGAGGGTCACTTCTTGTAAAAATACATTGAAGTGAGGCTCCAGCCAGCGTTTGATTGCACGAGGGGAGAGCTTGGAAGGTTGAACATCCTGACATTGTAGTGCCCAAGTGGAATTTTTTATTGCCCATCTTGAGAAATACTTTCCTGTTGTGAACAATTACACTTACTTTTAAAAAGCTATCATGTATAATTCTTAAGACATATTTTAATCGGTGATGGAATATGTGGTTTCTCATATTCATATTTCTCTATCAGTAGTATTAAATTTGTTCATTGTGGATTCAGCATTCCACGGAATTTCAGTGTTGAATAATAATTCAGAAAGCACATTAATTGTGAAGCAATGAGGTCCATTTCTCAAGATTTAGCATTATATCTGACTTGGGATGGAACGGATTCATATTTTAGTGAGAGGTGTTTGGAGCTTCAGCAACCAGCTTCACATTAAAGTGCCTGCCGGTCTTGCTGATGTTGCTGTCGTGTTGGTGACAGTGAGAGAGGCTGCAATTAGTATTCACCTCACACCCAAGGGAAGGCAGCTTGACCTGCAACAAAGAATGATTGACTTGTTTTGTAGCAGAAAATTTAGACTTTTAATAAACTTTATAAACCCAATGGAGAAAGCTGGTGAGCAGTTTCACTTGAGGTTATTGGGTCTGCCGTTCTTTCTTTCTTTCCAAGAAATCAAAAGTGTTTATTTCAGTAAACTAAGTATTTTGGACAGTTATAGGATAAGTAGCATATTTAGTTCCCCAAAATTTAGGATTATGATGGAACTGTGTACAAATTAGTGCTTCTCCGTATCATTCTTCATCCCAGTGTATCATTTGGAACAGATACAAAATAGTGGAAGTTGCTGTTGGAAGCTTAAACAATTTCCACATGTATTGGATGAGAGTACAGAAAAGGGTTGGAAAGAGTGTTTGGAGAGCATCTACTCTTGTGTTTGCCCTTCCTTGTGGGAGGATTCCCCGAGAGAGCTCGGCTCTGGGGCAGGAGGACTGCCTGGTGGGGGGGTGGGTCGCTCACCTCACCTTCCTCTTCGAATGAATTTGCTGGTTGAGTAAAATACGGATGAATCAATCATACATTTTAAAAATAAAATGATAGCGTCTCATGATTGTGTTTATCTGACAAGTCATTTAATTTGGATTCTGGTATTTTTTTCTGTCAAAATGTGTTTTGTTTTAACAGAGAAGTGGAATTTCTCTGATTGGATGTTTATAAATTTTATAACTTGTTGCTATTAAAATGAATCCTGATAATTTAGATCATCTCTTCTGCTTAGAAAATTTTGAAACCTAGCATCTAACCCTTTAGATTTTCTATAAGTAGAGTTGGATTGTGTAGAATTGTTCATTAAAATGTGGGACTTCAAGCACAAATGTGAGTACTCAAGTTCTATGCTATCTCGGTATTCTTTAGATTAGAGCAAGGCTTCATGTGGTAACATCTGTTTTATACTTTTCCTTGAATGTGTTTGAAAGCGATGAATAGTGTAGAGTACCAATAAAAGAAATAGATTTATTATTCTTTCTACTGCTTCTTAATCTCTGAGAATCATGAGGTTTATAGAATTTTTTAAGATAAATTTCCTCTTCAATACAGTATTATGTAGTACATCAGGTTACTATAAAGTGGGTAGTTATTGTCTGTCACATTACAATGTTCCAGGCACTGTACAAGTATCTTACATACATTGTTATTTAATTCCTACAACAATACCATTCTAGAAAGGAGGAAATCAAGATCTGGAGCTAACACCTTTCTGTAGGTTTTTCAGATGTAGAGGATGTTGGAACTGGAATTTAAACCCACTCTGCTTGATGCCGGAGACTCAGGCTGATAGGGTGTGGGGGAAACAAAATCGTCGCATCTGGAAATGTGAACTGTATCCCAGCCAAGAAATGGGCTTTAGGATTCCCGTATCTCATATGAATCGATGCTACTGATTTATACTGTGCAGGCGTCTCTTAGGATTTTCCTTCATTCAGCTCATTTTGTCGATGATCAGTTGAGATTCTGCTTATTATATATCCCCTTGATAGTAAAGAATTTTGTAACAGAACCCAAGTGTAATGAGATAAATTGACATTGAACTGAAACACCTAAATTTTCTGATCTGATGAGCAGTGTAGATCCAAGGACATTAGAGGTACAAAATATTTTCTCAACTGGATATTGACAGGTTTTTTATTGTTGTTATTGTTTGAAGTAAGTATGCAGAAAATCTGTAAGCTTGGTTTATTCATCCTTAACTTGGCTCCAGTTTATTTGGAAATTATGTGTTCTCTTGTCTCTCAGTAAATTGTATTTTTAGGAGTATTTCTGAGTCATAATTGTTCTTTATTATACTGTCATTCTTAAATACTTATGGCTAAAGATGGCTGCCAGCAACAGCTTCTTTGGCCATCTTTGGTTGGGAAAGCCATCGACAGAGATCCCAGGGAGCCTGGTTTAGGTCATGGGGTATGTAGGCCATTATCTGTGGAGGATATCATAGAGTTGGCTCCGTGTGATTATATGCTGATCCCTAAGGCCATGATGTGTTCTGGGACCGAGCACAGAGAGAAGGGGGGCCACCATTATCCACTTTTTGACTGTATATTATGTGGCTTACTTTCTGCCGACGTTTTGGAGCTTTGCCTCAGTGATAATGAAGTTAGCTCACTGACCACAGCGGCTAATCTGAGAATCGTAGTGGCAGGGCCTGGCCTTTTCTTCATTAACCCTGGAGACTGCGTTATTTTCCCTCAGGTCAAAGGAAGAAATGGCTAAGATAAATGTAGTAATACTGCGTGTGACTTTGTGTGTATACCTTAATCCTTCTTTCTTTACCTTAGAGGAGGGATGCATTTTAAATATCCATTAATGTGTTAAATAAACATCTTAGAGGCTTACCCAGCCAGTCACCGTTCAACCCCAAACCTGAATTTGTACTTTCTGACACCTAAGAATGCTGCACAGCCCCCAGATGGCATGTCTTGATTTTTATAGTTTCAAGTCACATGGGACTTATTTCCTATACATGGTGGTTGGTTGTACCTTTCTTTCCACACTGAGTGATGGCCATCTGCTTAAAATTTTTCTATTTTGAGAATTTTTTTTTAAGTCCTTGACTATGTTATGGTTGTAAACACATGGTTTTTATTTACTCACTTAATAGGCATTTGTTGAGTACTTGCTGTGTATACATACACAACATACACTTTCATGAAGTCAGTTATTCTTCTGTATTGTATTACTTAAGACACTGAATCTTTCTGACAGAGGGGTGATTTTCTTGCAGGCAAGGAGGTTACCTGCTGGTAATCTTCACAGCCCTTACAGTTAGTCTATGTGTAGATTTATAATCATAAGCATGTATTAGATATAAAGTGTTATTTATAGTATGGGAGAAGCTATATAAAATGCTTAAATTATAAACTGATGGGAAAAGATGGTGCTTGAGTAGATAGGCTTGTTGGTGTTGTTAATAAGCATTTACTGTATTTTGTAACAGAAATGAGATAAGCTTATTTTAGAAAATTTACAAAATACACTTAAGAAAAAAGGAAGAAACCAAAAATAACCCATAGTTGTAAAAATAAATCACTGATAAAAATTGATACCAATTTTCCAATTTTTTTCTGCAGATGTATATCCGTATATGTTTATGTAAACATATTGCCTCTCCTTCCATTGTATGGGCTATGCTATATATTTTCGTTTGAATATTATTTATGATAAACTTTTGAACATTAGGTTGTTTCAGTTTTTCCTCCATAATAAAAAATCTTGCATTAAATATCCTCATTTCTTATCTATGAATACATTCCTCATCCCTTTGCATAACTTTCTAGAAATGAAATGTCTTGATTTAGGGGCATATAGAATGTTCTGGATCATGTAAGCATACACAGTGACAAATTGAAGAAAACTAATGCAGGAAGTTGATCTTCTTGGTAATGACTGATTCAGACCTCAAAATTGGATTTCAGCTAGTTAAATAAACACATTTTTTTAATGGGTTGTATACGATGACTAATCTTTAGCATTTTCTCTAAAACTTTGGGTACTTTCTCTATCCTTCCCGCCTGCCACTCAGAAGTGTTCTGTTTAGGTGCCACCCGAATAGTCATTTCTTATATTGCTAAAAGTAGGTAATTTAAAGATAGAACACAGATTTTGTGAACTGAAATTTCAGGACTATGCTTTTCCAAAAGCACAAATTTAGAAACAGCAAGATAACATTTGTTATTCTTTTTAGGCTGATCAGTTGATGTTCGCTTTGCATTTTGTTCGAGGCATGCATCCTGAACTTTTTCAAGAAAATGTAAGTGGGAATAAAGGAGGAAAATGTTGGAGTTACATAGAAGTTTGGTAATGGGCAGATTTATGGTTGGATTAGAAATAACTTTAGACTGGAAATTATCTATCAACCTGTTAATTTTTTAATAAGTTAGAATTTAGTGTAAGATGCTGATTTCTGCTTCTCCCCTCTGGGTGAGCCAAGTATTTATTCAGAGGTATGATGAGGCAGCGTGGCTTACCACAGTGCTTCTGGACCTTTCTAGACCCCCGTGCCCTGCTTGTCTTGCTCGTACGGGCAGTGGAGCTAACACACGTACAAAGTGGAGCAATATGGGTGTATAGCAGCCTCGTTTATTCCCTTCACTGACTTGCTCCGAGTCAGCATGTGAAGCAAGAGGGTGGGCAGTTCTCAGAGGCTTCCTGGGGCCCGAAGCCTTATGTTAGTCTTTTTTATGTATAATTTATCTTCTTTGTCTGTAACTTTATTTCTGGTCTGCCCGATCATCCTCTCTCCAACTTGAAAAGAACCTCCTTCAAGTTAGAGCTAACTAATCCATCTCTGGTGTGATTCTAACATTTAAAAACAAATTATTTGTAAGTGATTTTCTGGTTTTGATGCCATTATCATCAAGTGAGTAGAGAGCAGGGTGGGAGGGAATAGTATATGGACAGTGAGCTTTGACCTTCACCTCTACGTGGTCAAATTTCGTGTCCTGGGTTCTCCTTATTTGTATACTTAAAAGAACGCAGACCTTTCCACATGCCTATTTTCTCTCTTTGTTCCTAATTCCACATGCGCTGGCTGACTTGTATTGTTTCTCCTAAATTTGTTAATTTGACTCCTTTTATTTCCACCATTAGCTTTGATGCCTTTCCCCCCTCCTGTATCATGTTTTTCACCATGATCAGTACGTTCCACACTGTGTAAGATTTAATATTCCCTAGTGTTCCCTGTTGGAGTATATGTAATTACTGGGAAAGGAGAACATTTTTCTCTGACTCCCACCTAGTAATAGTAATCATTTCTAGTCTCTTGTGACTGTATAGTTTCAGTAAGTGGTCATGCTGGGTGGAAGCAGGAAGTAATTTTGTTTTTTTTCTATATTGCTCTCAAATTTTGTATGTTTTTTCTTTATTTGCTGAACAATATGTAACAAAGAATATGATAGTGCCCATTATTATCTTGGGTGAGTTCAGGGTAAAGACAGATTTTCTTGGAGCACTAGATTCTGTAACCCTGGGTCAGTCATGATTCCGTGGATTAATTTAAAAAAAGAATAATGGCAGTCTTCTAATCTGTTGGAAAAGATAAGTTAATGGAAGTACTTTTTTCTATTTTTTCCCAGCATACACAATTTTTAAATTTTTGGTGCACTTTATTGCTTATTTATTAGTGAAAAATGGCATGTAATGGGGCAAATTAAGACAAATGCTGACTGAACATGACATGTAAATTTTTCGATGTTGAAACATTATAGGGAGAGAAATTGTAGTTACATCTTTTGCTTTAGTAAAATGATTTCTCGTACTTTGCATAGGAATGTGTTATGTTGTACATGAACTCATTCTTGATGTTAATGTTGTACCAGAAGTGGGACGATGTGACATGAGTTTTTTTTCCATGTCCTTAGAAAGCTGCACTGTAAGCTATCTTTTAGGGAAATTGAGAAAATTCTGTTAACTGGTTAGTATTTTTATATTTTTTGTTTTACTCATATTTTTATTCAACAGGAATGGGATACGTTTACAGGTGTGGTTGTTGGAGACATGTTGCGGAGATCTGTAAGTAAAAATAATAAAATTCTTTCACTCTTAGGGAAAATAGTTCTGGCTTTGACTTCATGAGATGCTATTTGCTTCAGAGGAATTTTAAAGTACTGTTGAAATTATACTTTAACTAGAGGAATAGGTCCTTGCCTCTATTACTGTACTATAAAATGGACCTAAATATTTTTTGTCCTTAGAGACATATATTCTTATGAGAATAATACTAATTAGATACTAAGAAAGTAATACACTTTATAATCCTGGAAAAATAAAATTTTGTGTTATGACTAGGAAAATTCCCCAAAACTGAAGTTTAAAATTTTTAAAAAAATTTTTGGTAACTTCATTCAAATTTATCTTTTTCTTTACTAATTTTCTATTTGCACATGTAATGAATAAAATTTTTTCTTCAAAGCAGCATACCCAAACTGTAATGCAAAATCTAGATTATGTCTGAAATATTTTTATTTAGATTAAATTAAGATATTATTAAAAATAATGTAAAATTTATGGCAATTTTTTATTATTTTATTACATTTTTCTGAAGTTTCATAAAAGATTATGCACAATGAAAACGAATGCAACATTTGTGTAAATGGTTGTCTATACCTTGTTATATAGAATTTTACAATAGTAAAATAAATTAAGCAATAATACATAGAATGAGTTTTCAAATCAGTGTTCGTAAAATTAGCTAGCAGTCACTTGTTGATTTTTCTAAGTTTGAATTTTACCAAATATACCAAAGAGAATAATTGCTCTTATAAAGGACTCTCAGCAGAGGATCCGGGATCAGCTCCCGTCTTGGATAGACCAGGAACGAAGCTGGGCGGTGGCGACACTGAAGGTATTCAGGACTTTTCTACTGTGGGGAGTACTTAAACTTCTTCTCTATTTGAGTTATCTGTTTATTTTTTTTATGTGCTCCCTATTAATACTCAGTGTTGATATTTCTGTGTATATGCCATCAAATCCCTGGGTAAAAGGATATCAGAGAATTATTCTATTCTGATTAGTCCTTTAATCCTTAGTTAAATCTTTCATTCAACACATACATATTTGGTCTCCATTGCACAAGATTCTGTGCTGCACACCCACAGGGAATAGAAGGATAAGTAAACAAAAGATCTAATATGGAACGTGGAGGCCTTCTTTATAGAATAATTCAAGATTGGTAATGAGATGCAGTATGATGCTAGGAGTTTCAAATTCAAACTGTTTCTCTTGCTTTTATTCGTCTTTGAAATATCCCTCACCCGCAGCCCCTCTCCATCCTTGCGATCCCTCCCCGAGTTTTGACTCTCATCATTCACCTGGGCTTTGCTGCAGAGCCTCTGCTCCTGACCTCAGGCCTCTGTTTCCCTGTGTCCTCTATGTTTTAAAGTTGACTTATAATTCAGTTTGCACTCTATTAAAACCTTCCGATGGCTTCTGTCACTCACAGGATAAAGTCCCTCGACATTTGCATGAAAGATAAGACGGTCCATGACCCTGCTCCTTGCCCACCTCTTCCATTTTATCTCCAGTCCACCCCTCACTGTTTCTTGCACTTACAGTTCGCGCGTTGCTACTCCCTCTACCTGGAATGCCCTGGGGCTGTGTTTACCTGTCAAACATCGATTTCACATTTGAAGACCTACCTTCTTCATTCTGTCTCTTCTGTTGGCATACATCTTGAACATCCCTACATCATAGCACCTGTCATACTGAGTCAGAACGATGCAGTGTGTCCGCCTCTTCTCCCAGGTTGTAAGTGCACTGAGATGAGGATCCGTGCCTTGTCAAACTTGATGTCCTGACACCCAGTGCAAAACCTGACTTGCACATTCCTTTGATTATTCAGTAAGTGCCCCCTGTACTCCAGATGCATAGTTAGTTTTCTGTTAGGTACTTTTTTTGGTTGCACAAATTAAGATTATGAGTGGACAAGCTAATGACAAAATAGGTGATGTAAGTTTTGCATTGTTCATATATTCTGTTGAGTTAAGGTATTAAGTATTTATAATATGCTGGTTGACAGTGGAGAGCACAGATGTATAAAAGTCTTTGTCCCTTCTTTCTAGGAGTTTGTCACCTAGTGAAACACTTTTGACACAGTTATAAGACCTGGCTCATAAACTCCTAATGGGAAAAGTAATAATTATTGTTTGAACAGCTGATCTCCAGTCACACTTGGGGAAAAATCTTACGTTTTTAACCTAAAAATTGTAATGATGCTTTTTTTTTTCACATACTCATTTCTATTTAAGTAAAGAAATGCAAAATATTTAGGGAAGACAGCTTTCCTATTCAAAGAAGGTTTATAATACACATTGATGTTTTATTATCAGTTTATAAAACATTTTTAAGTGGATTATCTCATTTATTTATTTATTTATTTTTATTTAAATTACAGTTAGTTAACATATAGTGCAATATTAGTTTCAGGCATAAAATTTAGTGATTCTATGTGAATTATCTTATTTAGTTATCATACCAACCCTAAGAGACAGGTATTATTAAATTCTCTTTTTACAATGAGAAATGGAAGTCAGTAGTAGTGAGTTAAATGAATGAGCCTAAGGTTTCTTCTTAATTTAACACAGTTTTTGAAGACCTATTATGTGCCAAGCAATCATCCTAAATACTTCACATGTATTATCTTACTTTATCATCACAATAACCTGATGAGGCCGTAATTATGCCTGTTTTAGAAAAGAGGAACAGGAGGTGGAGCGAGGCTAAATAATTGAGCCAGGATCAAACAGGTGGGAGGTTTGGGAGCTGTGATTTCGGTTCAGGCCTTCTGACACCAAAGTCCAAGCCCTCAGTATCTCGATTTTCCAACTACAGTGTTTTCCTTCTCTCTGTCTCCCCCGACTCCCCATTCCCAAGTGTGAGGTGGGTGCCGAGGGCAGGCTGCGGGGCGCGGGCCACGGGGGCAGAAGCACGGTTCCGAAGTTCAGCTGCCAACAGTTCTGTCTGCGTTCTGGACTCAGGCCTCCTGGGTGCTTCTGTGGGGAGCCAAAGACAAGACAGAGAGACTTCTGTCAGAATGTGTCCGTCTGTCTGTTCCCCGTCATCCCTCCCCTGCCCGGTGCAGCTGCTGTCGCATGGCACGTAGTAAAGGCCACAGGGGCAGCTCGCGGTTTCTGGTCACTTACTGGTGACTTACTGGGTGCGTGGCATTATGCAGAATTTGAAAGGAGATCACCTCACCGACTGTTACGGCCCGATGAGGTACCTGACAGGTGAGGAAACCAGGCACAGAGCGACGCGGTCACTTGGAAAGTAGAGTCGGGATTTGAAATGGGGCTCTTTGTGGTCGAGTCGGAGCTGTTCACCACTCTGGACTGCCGGCTGTTCACGAATACCTGCTGAATCAAGTCGGTCGATTCTGCTCTGTTACCAGTCCGTCGTTTTTCTCATTAGTCATATACTTGGTGCCTACGACTAGTCAGCACAGTGCCCGTGGAGTGACAAGTCGATGTTTTCTGATAGGAAGAGACTGTGCTGAGCACACCTGCCTGTAGAGAATCTAGCAGGTACTCGAGGGTGATACGGCTGGCGCCACGCTGAGTATAGCCCTGGGGATTTGAGCAGAGTCTAACGTGAAACCAGCACGCCGCCTCACTGCCTCAGATTTCTAGCCAAAAGCATCTTGGTTATACAATGTGTAGCATAAATCGGTAGCAGTAGGCCCTTATGCACTAATTGCCACTAAATTTAATAGACTACCATCAAGGGTTATCCTAATAGGCTTAGATCACTTATGAAAAATAACGTGAAATGTACTTAATTTTCTGCTGTATGTTTCATTTTAGTTAAGTTACATAATGAAATTTGGGCAATATAATGGGTTATTTAGAAATGAATATAGCTACTTGGATGAAGCATCCTTAAGTATTTGACTTGGGTTTATATTATGTGACATTCTAGTACTCCAGATACAGGTCTTCTGAATTCACCATTCTTTTCTTTTTTAAAAATTTTTTTAATTTTTTTAAGATTTATTTATTCATTTGAGAGAGGGAGAATGAGAGAGAGAGTACATGAGAGGGAGGAGGGTCAGAGGGAGAAGCAGACTCCCTGCTGAGCAGGGAGCCCGATGCGGGACTCGATCCCGGGACTCC